CCGTCCTTCCGCGGCCGCGGAGCCGTTCCCGAGACCCGTTTCCCGGCGACGTGGGCGCCAGCCAGGGGCCTCGGCGCGCGGGTGTGGGTGCAGCCCGCTGGGGCTGCGTGACCTTGGGCGGGCGCCTGGCGCAGAGAGGGGACTGAAGGGCACCCCTTCCCGGGCAGTGGTGCCTTTGAGTGAGTTGGTGCGGGTTCCCCGCGGAGAACGGAGTCTGCACGCACCCGGCGAGGAGAAGCGAGGCGCGCGCGGGTACTTGTGCGAGCCGGGCCGCTCCACGTGCTCCTGCCAAGGGCAGGCGAATACTCTCCTGAACCAATATTCTGTAAATGTTTCCTCGCGTTCCTTTAGAGCACTAGCCCCAGACTCGGAAAACCGTTTGGGACAGAGCTGTCTGGGGTTCTGAGCGTGCTTGGGTGTGGGGAGAGCCTTACTCTGCACCCCCAAGCACGCACGGGGGGTCACCTCAACCCCCGGCCATTAGCAGCACCATCTCGGGCTGGGGCTTACACTGATAACTCCAGCTCCACTCCTTGGAGACTGAGCCCTCGGTAACTGTCGCCCTTGCTCTGCTCACACCATTAGAAGCATCTGTAAGTGAAATGTTTGTCAACTTCTAAAGTGCCTTAGCAATAGTAGGTGAGATTTATTGAGCACTTATTGCGTATCAGGCACCACGCTAAGATTCTGACGTGTCTCATAAAATTCTCATGACAGCCAGGTCTGTGAGGCAGTACTATTATTAACTCCCTTTAAAGGATTCAGACAAACAGGCACGTGAAGTTTCTGGAACGAGCACTGGCTCAGACATAGCAATAGAGACAAAATTTAGACCCAGACTACAATGAAGGTGGAGCCCATACTCCTAGTCCAGCCTTTGGTGCCCCTGCCACAGATTAGGGGGATGGTACTACTCTGCATTTACCATGTAAACCAAGAATAAAGAGTCCCTCTGTCACCTTATCCAGAGACCTTGCTGTTTCTCAGCTCCTACCTCCTCTCCCTCCGGAAGAGATAAGGATGGTTTGCTGTAATGGATGAGGTTCAACATTGTCTATTCTTGGCCTCCTCCCCAAACCATGATCTTCCAAAGAGAAATCACACAGGTATTAATGCAAACTACCTGGTTAGTGTAGACTAATTTCACGTTTAGTTAAAAGAGTAGGCTACTATAAACAACAAGGAACTTACTCTAGAAAGGAAATAGGAAGTGTATAGTTTTCTCACTTCAGAAGAGTGCTACAGATTTTCCAGGGAGTCCCAATTGTAACTGTCCCTTCTGTTATCACTCTCCTGTCCCAGTTTAGGAATGACAAAATGCGGATGTGTGGTAAAAAGGCTATACTGTGAGCTGATTTCCACTTGGAGCATTTCCTCTTGGAAGCTCCCCAGTTTTTCCCTAACACCTTTCAACTTGACGGGATATAAAGACATAAGCTCAGCACACTCAGCAGGGAGAGGGCAGTTACCCTGATTTTCCTCCTTCAAATCCTGGTTAAGCACCACCCCAGAATGCTGCCGTGTTCATTAAAAATTAATAAAGCTCAAGGAATGCTTCACATTTGGTGTTTTCCTACCCAGACTACTAAGTTAAATTCACCGAAAAGATGCTACAGGTAGTCAGCATTTAGTATTAGCAAACATTACTGCAGTGTTTAATGTATTAATTTAAAAAAATCTTCATACTTAGGAAAAAGTATAACTGAGGAAGTCAGAGACCTGAACACTAAAAACTATCAAATACTGATTAGAGAATTCTTGATGAAAGAAATGGAAATCACCGTCAAGGACTAGAAGAATACATTGTTGAAATGCCTATACCGCCCAGAACTACAAGTCAGTTCAGTCCTTACTAAAATCTTAATGACATTTTTTAACAAAAATGGAAAAAAATCCTATTTTGTATAGAACCACAAAAAACCCTGAATAGGCAAAGCTATTTTGAGCAAGAAGAACAAGGGATATCACAGTTTTAGTCTCAAACTATGCTACAAAATACTATAATCAAAACAGTATGGCACTGGGATAAAAGCAGACACATGGATGGATGGAATACAATAGTGAGTCCAGATATAAACCCACAAACAGAGTCAATTAATTTATGACAATGGAGCCAAGAT